CACGGAACAGATTAAGTTCATAAGTAGAGGTACCACTGTGTGTGTGTGTGTGTGTGTGTGTGTGTGTGTGTGTGTGTATTAAAAAGGCAGGCTTTCTAGTCCTCATGATGTTTTAATGCCCAGGGGAGTTCTATGGGAGTAGATACAACTTGTTTTATTCCTGATGCCAGGCCATGGGGCAAGATTCTAATTTATATCGATCCATGCTGACTCTGTGTGTGTGTGTGTGTGTGTGTGTATGTCTTGCAGCGGGCATCCACTGGATCATTGTGGCATCTTCTTTCTGGTTCCTCTACAGCAGTGTTGTAGAACACTGTAGAACTCTACAGCAGAATTCCCAATTCTGGGAGTTGAAGTCCACCCATCTTAAAGTTACCAAGCTTGAGCAACACTGCTCTACAGACCTGGAAAATCAACCCCTGTGGCTTCAGGGCACCTTCTGGCTGTAATAACAGCTCCCCCACATATTATAACCAGTGGACTCCCCACCAAACCGATCCATAAAACTCAAAGATGAGAATTTGCATTTTGTCAATTCCAGGGTATGTCCCCAAACTCCCCTATTTTCAAACCGAAACCTGCGATTTAAGGAAATGCAAAAGCGGGGCAAAGACTCACGTGTTAGATGCCATGGGCTTGGGCAAAGCAGAGCCCATCCCTCCCGGCGGGTGGGTCGAAGGCTGAGGTCCTGGCAAGACACGGCTAAGGACGCTCCGGGCTTGGTCCTTCTCGCTGTGGCTGGGGACCTGTGCCCCAGAAAGAGGTGTTTTCTCGGGGGCTTGCGAGGGCCTTGAAGGAGAGTAGGGGGTTCTAACAGGCTCAGTTTTGCCTGTGGTGAAGCCAGAAGAGGGGGGATCAGCCTGGGAAAACTTCTCCCGAGCCTGCTGGATTTTTGTCCGCAATCCTGTTGAAGGAGAAGTCATGGCTTGACCTGCTGGTTGGGTAGGAGGATCCAACTGATGCAAACTTGGGCTGGTGGACACCCTGCTGGTTTTATTATTCCTGGGATCTAATCCTGTCGAAGGAGAAGTCATGGCTTGACCAGCTGGTTGGGTAGGAGGGTCCAACTGATGCAAACTTGGGCTGGTGGACACCCTGCTGGTTTTATTATTCCTTGGATCTAATCCTGTTGAAGGAGAAGTCATGGCTTGACCTGCTGGTTGGGTAGGAGGGTCCAACTGATGCAAACTCGGGCTGGTGGACACCCTGCTGGTTTTATTATTCCTGGGATCTGATGGCACCTGAGCTTCTGGTCGGGTGGCGTTGTTGTTCTGGAAGGCCCAACTCGGCTTGACCGCCGGCGATGCTGCTGGCGTCGGTTCAAGTCCCTTCCCCCAGTTCCCTGAAGCGGCCTGGGAAGACTTCCTCTCTCCACGGCTCTGCTGGACAGGAGGACCCTGGGCAGACGCTGGCCCTGCGTGTTGGCTACAAAGGAGAGTCCCTGGGCCAAGCCCAGCTTTGTAGTTTCCTCTCTGTAAAGTGCTGGAGCACTCTTTGCACCTAGGAACAAAAATTCAGACAAAATAGGACCGTCTTAGAGGGGATTCAGTTGTTCTTCCCTTCTTGGAACATTCTGCCTTTGGAAGAGACGAAAACAAAGCTCGTAGCATGGATGTTGCTCTCGTGGGCAGGAAAGGGCTATTTTGAGTCATGCCAGCGGGAACTACAACTAAAATGCTGCAGCGTAGAGTTCTCCCAGTTCCAGAGGCTCCCTTCCCTTCACTTCCATCTCCCCTATTTTATTACTCTCCCCCCCATCCCTGGGGCACACTCAGTTCCTGGCTGAGCTATTTGGTCGTGTTTCTTAGGGGATTCCACCACCATCCACAAACCTAGAGTCCTGCAAAGCTTTGAGACCCGTTCTCCAGCCTGCCATGAATTCTTGAGCCTTGGAAGTGTTATCTGCAGGCCTAGCAACTGGAGAAAACCGAGCTTGCACCAAGCTCCCCCAACTGGGTGTCCTGCAAACCACCTTTCCCTGATCCCTGGCCAAGCTGGCTTCAGGTCTAAGGGAGTCTCAACGGTCTGGAGAACGTCCTGGTCAGAAGCATCCTTCTCCGCCTCTTGGGTGGACAACCGACAGGCACCAACTGCTTCTGTTTTCCTCCCATCGTTCATCTTCCAAGAAACTTGTGGCAGCCGACATGACTCTCCCACCCCTTGCCCATCTTCTCCTTCCCTCCCAGGGTAGGAAACCAGGATCTGAGCTCATTCCTACTCCAACGTTCTCACCGGGCGGCAGGTCATCGGCTGCTCTCTCTACACCCAGCTTCCTCTGAGGCCAGAGTAGCCTCTGGAGACCACCCAGTTCGTACAGCATCCTTACCCCTCCCCAAACCCGAACTCTGAGAAGAGGGCAAGCCGAAGCATGGCACGCAGGGCAAGGTCAGCCCCTGAGCCAGCCTTCCTGAGAACCATACCGAAAGCAATTCCTGTGATAAAGCTTCCCGTCCATCAGCAGGCGTTGCACCAAGTGGACGTGGGTTCCGCAGATGGCGCAGTCGCCGTGCTGCGCATTGTTCTTCTCGGCTAAGACCCGTCTCTGGGGAGAGAAAGTGCACACAAAGGGATGTGAAAGGAGCCCCCCTCTGTCAGGCAAAAGACCCTCACCCTCTCCGGTTTTGCTAAGCAGCCGATCAGAGACTTCTACGGAGCCCACAAGCCAGGCACAAAAACACTCGCCCTCCTCTCCCTGGTCAGATTCGCTAGCTGATGGGGGGGGTCCCCCCACTTCCTCCATATGGGGTGTAAATGGGTCAGCACCAACCTTAGGCCCCCGCCCCACGTCAGCTTTTTTTTTCTTGGCAGCCTTTTTACAGCGTATCTTTTCTCTTCTTCTTGAACTTCACATGGTTGACTTTTCCTCTACTGCTTTTTCCCTTTTTCCCCCTCTTCTTTCTTTTCCTTCGGCCTTCCTCTTCAGTTCAAGGAATTTTGCCACATCAAGCAATTCCTGAGTCCTGCCCTCTAAAGCAGTGTTTCTCAACCTTGGCCACTTTAAGACGTCTGGACTTCAACTCCCAGAATTCCC